TGGACTCCTAGTGCAGTATATCAGGGCTGTAGCCAAGTAATGGACTCCCATTGCAGTATATCAGGGATGTAACCATGTATACAGATGGAATCCTAGTGAAGTATATCAGGGCTGTAGCCAAGTAATGGACTCCCAGTGCAGTATATCAGGGATGTAACCATGTATACAGATGGAATCCTAGTGCAGTATATCAGGGCTGTAGCCAAGTATACAGATGGACTCCTAGTGCAGTATATCAGGGCTGTAGCCAAGTAATAGACTCCTGGTGCAGTATATCAGGGCTGTAGCCAAGTAATGGACTCCTAGTGCAGTATATCAGGGGTGTTACCAAGTATACAGATGGACTCCTGGTGCATTATATCAGGGCTGTAGCCACGTAATGGACTCCTAGTGCAGTATATCAGGGATGTTACCACGTATACAGATGGACTCCTAGTGCATTATATCAGGGCTGTAGACACGTTATGGACTCCTAGTGCAGTATATCAGGGGTGTTACCAAGTACATGTATACAGATGGACTCCTAGTGCATTATATCAGGGCTGTAGCCACATGATGGACTCCTAGTGTAGTATATCAGGGGTGCTACCACGTATACAGATGGACTCCTAGTGCAGTATATCAGGGCTGTAGCCAAGTAATGGACTCCCAGTGCAGTATATCAGGGTTGTAACTTAGTATACAGATGGACTCCTAGTGCAGTATATCAGGAATGTAGCCTAGTAATGGACTCCTAGTGCAGTATATCAGGGATGTAACCATGTATACAGATGGACTCCTAGTGCAGTATATCAGGAATGTAGCCAAGTAATGGACTCCGTGTGCAGTATATAAGGGATGTAACCATGTATACAGATGGACTCCTAGTGCAGTATATCAGGGCTGTAGCCAAGTAATGGACTCCCAGTGCAGTACATCAGGGATGTAACCATGTATACAGATGGACTCCTAGTGCAGTATATCAGGGCTGTAGCCAAGTAATGGACTCCCAGTGCAGTATATCAGGGTTGTAACTTAGTATACAGATGGACTCCTAGTGCAGTATATCAGGGCTGTAGCCAAGTAATAGACTCATGGTGCAGTATATCAGGGCTGTAGCCAAGTAATGGACTCCTAGTGCAGTATACAGATGCAGTATACAGATGGACTCCTAGTGCATTATATCAGGGCTGTAGCCACATGATGGACTCCTAATGTAGTATATCAGGGGTGCTACCATGTATACAGATGGACTCCTAGTGCAGTATATCAGGGCTGTAGCCAAGTAATGGACTCCCAGTGCAGTATATCAGGGTTGTAACTTAGTATACAGATGGACTCCTAGTGCAGTATATCAGGGCTGTAGCCAAGTAATGGACTCCCAGTGCAGTATATCAGGGATGTAACCATGTATACAGATGGACTCCTAGTGCAGTATATCAGGGCTGTAGCCAAGTATACAGATGGACTCCTAGTGCAGTATATCAGGGCTGTAGCCAAGTAATGGACTCCCAGTGCAGTATATCAGGGATGTAACCATGTATACAGATGGACTCCTAGTGCAGTATATCAGGGCTGTAGCCAAGTAATAGACTTCTGGTGCAGTATATCAGGGCTGTAGCCAAGTAATGGACTCCTAGTGCAGTATACAGATGCAGTATACAGATGGACTCCTAGTGCATTATATCAGGGCTGTAGCCACATGATGGACTCCTAATGTAGTATATCAGGGGTGCTACCACGTATACAGATGGACTCCTAGTGCAGTATATCAGGGCTGTAGCCAAGTAATGGACTCCCAGTGCAGTATATCAGGGTTGTAACTTAGTATACAGATGGACTCCTAGTGCAGTATATCAGGGCTGTAGCCAAGTAATGGACTCCCAGTGCAGTATATCAGGGATGTAACCATGTATACAGATGGACTCCTACTGTAGTATATCAGGGCTGTAGCCAAGTAATGGACTCCCAGTGCAGTATATCAGGGATGTAACCATGTATACAGATGGACTCCTAGTGCAGTATATCAGGGCTGTAGCCAAGTAATGGACTCCCAGTGCAGTATATCAGGGGTGCTACCACGTATACAGATGGACTCCTAGTGCAGTATATCAGGGCTGTAGCCAAGTAATGGACTCCCAGTGCAGTATATCAGGGTTGTAACTTAGTATACAGATGGACTCCTAGTGCAGTATATCAGGGCTGTAGCCAAGTAATGGACTCCCAGTGCAGTATATCAGGGATGTAACCAAGTAATGGACTCCTAGTGTAGTATATCAGGGGTGTAACCAAGTATACAGAAGGACGCCTAGCGCATTATATCAGGGCTGTAGCTACGTAATGGACTCCTAGTGCAGTATATCAGGGGTGTTACCATGTATACAGATGGACTCCTAGTGCATTATATCAGGGCTGTAGCCAAGTAATGGACTCCTAGTGCAGTATATCAGGGTTGTTACCAAGTATACAGATGGACTCCTAGTGCATTATATCAGGGCTGTAGCCACGTAATGGACTCCTAGTGCAGTATATCAGGGTTGCTACCAAGTATACAGATGGACGCCTAGTGCATTATATCAGGGCTGTAGCAATGTAATGGACTCCTAGTGCAGTATATCAGGGGTGTTACCACGTATACAGATGGACTCCTAGTGCCTTATATCAGGGTTGTAGCCACGTAATGGACTCCTAGTGCAGTATATCAAGGGTGTAACTTAGTATACAGATGGACTCCTAGTGCAGTGTATCAGAGCTGTAGCCACATAATGGACTCCTAGTGCATTATATCAGGGCTGTAGTCAAGTAATGGACTCCTAGTGCAGTATATCAAGGGTGTAACTTAGTATACAGATGGACTCCTAGTGCATTATATCAGGGCTGTAGCCAAGTAATGGACTCCTAGTGCAGTATTTCAGGGCTATAGCCAAGTAATGGACTCCTAGTGCAGTATATCAGGGTTGCTACCAAGTATACAGATGGACTCCTAGTGCCTTATATCAGGGATGTAACCAAGTATACGATGGACTCCTAGTTCAGTATATCAGGAGATGTCTAACCAAGTATGCAGATGGACTCCTAGTGCATTATATCAGGGCTGTAACCAAGTATGCAGATGGACTCCTAGTGCAGTATATCTGGAGTTACCAATTATGCAGAGTGACTCCTAGTGCAGTATATCAGTGGTGTAACCAAGTATACAGAGTGACTCCTAGTGCAGTATATCAGGCTGTAACCAAGTATACAGATGAATTCCTAGTGCAGTACATCAGGGCTGTAGCCAAGTATACAGATGGACTCCTAGTGCAGTATATCAGGGCTGTAGCTAAGTATGTAGATGGACTCCTAATGCAGTATATCAGGGCTGTAGTTAAGTATACAGATGGACTCCTAGTGCAGTATATCAGGGGTGTAACTAGGTATAGAGATGGACTCCTAATCCAGTACATCAGGGCTGTAGCTAAGTATGTAGATGGACTCCTTGTCCAGTATATCAGGGCTGTAGCCAAGTATACAGATGGACTCCTAGTGCAGTATATCAGGGCTGTAGCTAAGTATGTAGATGGACTCCTTGTCCAGTATATCAGGCTGTAACCAAGTATACAGATGAATTCCTAGTGCAGTATATCAGGCTGTAACCAAGTATACAGATGAATTCCTAGTGCAGTATATCAGGGCTGTAGCTAAGTATGTAGATGGACTCCTAGTGCAGTATATCAGGGCTGTAGCCAAGTATGTAGAGTGACTCCTAGTGCAGTATATCAGTGGTGTAACCAAGTATACAGAGTGACTCCTAGTGCAGTATATCAGGCTGTAACCAAGTATACAGATGAATTCCTAGTGCAGTATATCAGGGGTGTAACTAGGTATAGAGATGGACTCCTAATCCAGTACATCAGGGCTGTAGCCAAGTATACAGATGGATTCCTAGTGCAGTATGGGAACACATGACCACACTTCAATATGGAGCACATTCATGGATACACATGATCACACTTCAATATGGAGCACATTCATGGATACACATGATCACACTTCAATATGGAGCACATTCATGGATACACATGATCACACTTCAATATGGAGCACATTCATGGATACACATGATCACACTTCAATATGGAGCACATTCATGGATACACATATGATCACACTTCAATATGGAGCACATTCATGGATACACATATGATCACACTTCAATAAGGATCACATTTTAATGGTTACACTTTAACATGGAGCACATTCATGGATACAGATATGATCACACTTCAATATGGAGCATATCCATGGATACACATATGATCACACTTCAGTATGGAGCACATTCATGGATACACATATGATCACACTTCAATATGGAGCACATTCATGGATACACATATGATCACACTTCAACATGGAGCACATTCATGGATACAGATATGATCACACTTCAATATGGAGCATATCCATGGATACACATATGATCACACTTCAGTATGGAGCACATTCATGGATACACATATGATCACACTTCAAACTGGAGCACATTCATGAATACAGATATGATCACACTTCAATATGGAGCACATTCATGGATACACATATGATCACACTTCAATATGGAGCACATTCATGGATACACATATGATCACACTTCAATATGGAGCACATTCATGGATGCACTTCAACATGGAGCACATTCATGGATACACTTCAATATGGAGCACATTCATGGATACACTTCAACATGGAGCACATTCATGGATACACATGTGAACCATTGATTTATAAGTGTTTGTTCATTAGAAGGACAACTGAGAGTCAATGTCCCATGATATTTGCTAGCATTGTTCGTTTGTTTGCTGTTTAACGTCACACTCAGCAATATTCAAGCTTTATGACGGCAGTCTGTAAATAATCAAGACAATCCAGGGATTGACATCCTAAGCAGCAATCTACGCAATTGGGATATGATGACCAAGTCAGTGAGTCTGACTACTGCTCTTCTTCCTGACGTAATGCAATGTTTTGCTTTGTTTCAGGGTTAACACTGAGGAATACTTCTGGAAGTCCCTCTGAACATACTGTTTTTACTAAAATACTCCTTGTGACAATGGAGGAAAATTAGTGCCAAACTATTGTTCCAGTACTAACATATTGAGACTATATTGAAGCCACTAACAAAGATTCATGTGTATGACAAGAGATGTCTGATGACTTGAAGCCATCTTCATCCATCTTCAACAAGACCACACTCTTTGGGAGTGATGCCATTGGGGCCACAGCTCAGTTCTTATACATGTTTATTTCACTACTGCTGGCAGGGGGAGGTAACTCCCTTGTTATCACAACCATCATAAGACAACACCAACTCCATTCAACTACCTACTACATCCAGCTTGGCCTTGCTACAGCGAACCTAGTGTTTGCTGCTGTCTGCCTGCCCACTGCAATGTCCGTGGTGAGTGTTGCGCATGCTGGGTTTGCCGGCCCCTGGTGTCAGATCCAGGGCTCCATCATATTCAGCACTGGAATTGCCAGCATGCTGCTCTACACCATCTCCTCTCTTGATAGGTTAATATGCATCCTCCATCCTCTCTGGTACATCAACTCCTGCTGGGCTAATCGCCCATACATCTACATCATAATTATCATCAGCTCAGTGCTTGTTGTTGCCATTGTTCCTCTGGCAAAGCAGAGCTTCAACTTTCATGAAGGCATGATGGTGTGCACTCTCATGTCCACATTCAACTATCGTGAACACACATACATCTCCATCATAGGCACTATCCTCTTCATCATCTGCATCCTCATCGTCAGCATAACACAGATATCCATATTCCTGATAGCCCGGGCCAAGATCAAACACATTCGCCCCTGGAACCAGTCAAACCAGCACCTGATGATGACACTGAGAGCCCACCTCAAGGCCCTCAAGCCCACCAGTCTTACCATCCTCATCTTCGTGCTCACATGGTTAGCCTACAGTGCCATGATCATTGTGGACAAGAAGGCTGAGAACTTTCATAACACAACACAGTTCAAGGCCACATCCCGAGCCATCTGCCTGATGTTCATGACACTTCCCCAGTTCTGTAACCCTTTCATTTACACAATCTATGACAAGAAGTTCTGTGATGCTCTCAAAAGGCTGCTCAATATCAAGAGCTTTCACACCAACACACAGCCACAGCCAACTCAATACCCACAGGAACAGATTTCCAGGTTCTAGATGCTCACAGCATCATGGCCACCAAGGTGTGAGTAAATGTAGAGAATATGTACTTCCATGTGACTTTACATGCCTGTACAAAGGGAAATACTACCATAGCTTTCCTATTTGTATCCTACTGATACTTATTTTTAACATTGGCTTACTGATCTGTCCATCCTGAAAAATTGAAGAGAAGAAAAAATTAAACTGAATGCTGATAGCAATAGTTATTATTATTTGGCCAAATGTAAAGTATTGAGTTGGCCATAAATTGTGTGCATACATTGTGCATACAAATTGTTAAACATGAGGATCACTTTAGCAAACCTTTTACATTTAAAGCCTTAACCAAGAAACAAAAGAAAGAATGTGAAGGCACCAGGTACAATCAACATGTCATAATGTTGTGAAACACTTAGCCATAAAGTAAGGAGACTCCAGGTGTCTGTTGTCTTTGTAATGTTGTCTGTTTGATGTGAGCATTGTGAGAGGAGAAGTAGAATATAAATGGTTGTTGGTTGGTTGGTTGGTTGTTTAACGCCGCACTCAGCAATATTCCAGCTATATGACGGCGGTCTGTAAATAATCGAGTCTGGACCAGACAATCCAGTGATTAATATCATGCGCATCGATCCACGCAATTGGGATCGATGACATGCATCAACCAAGTCAGCGAGCCTGACCTCCCAGAATATAAATGGAATATTTAGGGCTCCTAGCCAGATTGACTAAGAGCCCTCTTGAAATTGTCCAATTTATTATTTGTTGTTATTCAGCCACTTATTGTTGCAGAGATCACTCAATAAGAAGTGGCCTCATTCTGTCCAATTGTTTTAAGTAATTTCAAAAGTGTGGCCACAACATCTAAACGTAAGTCAACGTCATATTTTAAACACATTGTGTCAAGGTCAGTTTCACAGATGACACTTCAGAAGTTCAGACCCAGTTTCTGTTGATGATACAAGCAATAAATACATAATACAACTTCTGAAAACATCAAAGTTAAATTCTAAAATGAAACTTAACCTTTTTGCATTTAAGTTAACCACTTATGGATGGCATGTGCTGTAAAGTTCACTTTGATTGGTTTTTCCTTTCACTGAAACTGTGATAATGCGAGATGAATGGTTTGCTGGAATAGTATTTTCATGGTGTCTTATGTACATGTAACATACTGTAAGCATACAAGATAATATTTGATAACTTTTGTTTGTTTGTTGCTCATCACCGCACTCAGCAATATTCCAGCTGTATGACAGCGGTCTGTAAATAAACGAGTCTGGACCAGACAATCCAGTGATTGACATCATGACCATCAATCTAAGCAATTGGGATATGATAATATGCATTAACCAAGTCAGTGAGATTGACCACCTGATCCTGTTAGTCGCCTCTTATGGCAAGCATAGGTTGCTGAAGACCTATCCTCTACCTGGATCTTCATGAGCATCCATGTATGCAATTGGGATACGATGACATCACAGGTGTTGACAGGGTGATGCGTATTTCTGCATACATGCAGTAGTGTGCAATAACACACTAAACATGTTGGTTTATTTTATAATGCACATTATAAATATCTTCAGAAAATGGAATATATTATCCTTACAAGATAGGTTGCATATTTTCAACATTCTGCTATTGATATTTATCAGTATTAGGTTTACAAATTATTGATGTAGATTGATTATCGTATGAAAAACTATTAAAAGTCTTTAACTTTTCTTTGATATGTTATCTGTTGTCAGCAAAGAATAAACACTACTTTTTCGTTACATGACGTTACAATCTTTTTTGTCTGCTAAATGGCAATTGGTGATTTTCCGCCACTGAGAATTTGTTGTCAGGACAGGTGGCGCTTTGATTGACCTCTGGTGTAGTGGCTAGGGCTACAACGGGTCCAAAAATATGGACTGAAGTACCCAAGGGGTAAGACTCGGCTCGTGCTCGAGTACCCGCAATTATACATCTATTCAATAAAATTGGCAAATATCCTATCGTATACAAAATGAAAGAGTCACGATGACATCGTAGATCACTAAGAAAACAAATGTGATCGCGTATCAAATAAAATACCTTTTAAATTTGTATGCTGATTCGTTGAAGCTTCACTGAAATAAGAATTGTCAACTTGGGAAAAGAAATCGTTTCAATGTATCACACGCCATGTTCTGGGTGAAAAATGAAAACAATATTGCACACGTGATCGTCACGTGATGTATGTTGCGATTGGTCAATGGCTGAATTAATAATGATTAACGTTACGATGCTAATTTAGAATGAATAGGTCGACAGTTTAATAGTTTCGTAAAACATCCCTTTTAAAGAAGCAATGAAGTACTTTTTTAAACCAGGAAATATCCTTATGAAATGGTTGTAAATAAGTGTATTGTTTCGAAAAATAACGAAAATCAAAGCTATTGACACTTTTATTTGATTTAATTGATTACTCCTGATAAAGAAAGTTACATAAAGACACGTTTCTATCAACTTATTGAAAGTCGACCAAATTAGAGTTATCTCCCTTGGTCGAGCACTCGAGTCTCACTAAACTCGGCCCGTGCCCGAGTACGCGAGTACTCTTTGAAGCCCTAGTAGTGGCGTGGATGACGTCACATCAAACAGCTGACCTGTGCTGTGGTTGTATAATGGAGACACATGGCTTTTGTTTCAAAGTGACAATGATATTCTCTTTGATTGTAATAGAACCTAGCACCTCTGGTACACCATGATTGGGAAGAGTTCGACAGTGACCTGTGTGTAAATGAAACTGTTTATTGTTTGACCAACAATGTCTCACAAGTTTGCGCCGTTTTCTAATTTTGGTGTTCTGACATGTCCTTTCCATGTCTGACTTAAGGCAATATTCCATGACAATAATGGGCTTTGTAGTTATTGACCTATCAAAACTATACCATGGAATTGGGATTCAGAACTTTGTACCTCTATGTCAGGTCCTTTTTGGCTAACATATGAGTTAGGGGATGTCGAACAAGTGGCACATGGCTTATGCTGTAATCTGTTGCATTACCAACTGCAGTTATCAATAGTTACTGAAGCCCCCCTTTCACATTAAACCTAAATTTTATATATTGCCACTTAATAGAAAAATATATATTAATGTTTACACTAAACATATCCCTTGTGTTACTTTGGTTACCTTCACTGGTGAATTGTGATCTGACCAGAGTCAAAGTCACACTTGTTGCCTTGGAAATGGACAAAATAAAAAAATCCCAAAATTCTTAATTTACAAAAGGCACCAGCTGACAACCTGGTCTTTCTGTGTGTAGTTTAGAGATATGACGGATGGACAAACAAGTGCTGTTTGTACCACATGGTGCCGACTTAAGAATGATGAAACATAGGTTTCTGAATAGATTTGCTGCCGACAGAAATGCTTCAACAATTAATGATATCTGAAATTGAGCTGACACTTTGAGGATTGTTGGACTATTTAGCCATCTTTAAGTTTTTGTTTTTGTTTTGTTTCACTGATGGAAGAGCACTGACAATGAAACCTATATGGACATAACCAGAATGTCATCAAGGTATATAATCCAAACTGTCATATTTACTGCAATGCAATCTTTGAAACAGTCTGCTTATGAACTAACTAAACATATACATGTTGAATCAATTAAGTCAAATTATCTCCGTTCACAATATTGATGATACAATTATTGGACATCAATATTTTGAATGGAGCTTATTTGACTTTACTTGATTCAACATGTATATGTTTTTGAAACTGCCAGGCACCATGAGGGTTAATAGGAAGCATGTTTTCCTCATCCTCAGCATGTGAAAAACTGCTTACACAGTGACAAACACTTGATACTGCATATATTTACCATATGTGTTTATTATTCCCCTAAGGGAATGAACACAAAAGATTTGGTGAAACTCTTACGTAAGTAATTGTCATGTATACTGAAAGAAGTGTCCGTAAAACATGTGAATAATCCTCCATTACCTGCCCCTACATCTGTGACAGGAGACATGGACAGTCTTGTCTAGATCTTGCTGGTTGTGCATAAATGCACTCATCTAGAACAGGATCTTGCTGGTTGTGCATAAACTCACTCATTTAGAATATGATCTTGTTGGGTGTGAATAAACTACCTCAGTTAGGATAGGATCTTGCTGGTTGTGCATAAATGCACGCATCTAGAACAGGATCTTGCTGGTTGTGCATAAACGCACTCATCTAGAACAGGATCTTGCTGGTTGTGCATAAATGCACTCATCTAGAACAGGATCTTGCTGGTTGTGCATAAATACACTCATCTAGAACAGGATCTTGCTGGTTGTGCATAAAAGCACTCATGTAGTACAGGAGCCTTGCTGGTTGTGCATAAACGCACTCATCTGGAATAGGATCTTGCTGGTTGTGCATTAACTCACTGATTTAGAACAGGATCTTGCTGGTTGTGCATTAACTCACTGATTTAGAACAGGATCTTGCTGGTTGTGCATTAACTCACTGATTTAGAACAGGATCTTGCTGGTTGTGCATAAATGCACTCATTTAGTACAGGATCTTGCTGGTTGTGCATAAACGCACGCATCTAGAACAGGATCTTGCTGGTTGTGCATAAACTCACTGATTTAGAACAGGATCTTGCTGGTTGTGCATTAACTCACTGATTTAGAACAGGATCTTGCTGGTTGTGCATAAATGCACTCATTTAGTACAGGATCTTGCTGGTTGTGCATAAACGCACTCATCTAGAACAGGATCTTGCTGGTTGTGCATAAATGCACTCATCTAGAACAGGATCTTGCTGGTTGTGCATAAACTCACTGATTTAGAACAGGATCTTGCTGGTTGTGCATTAACTCACTGATTTAGAACAGGATCTTGCTGGTTGTGCATAAATGCACTCATTTAGTACAGGATCTTGCTGGTTGTGCATAAACGCACTCATCTAGAACAGGATCTTGCTGGTTGTGCATAAATGCACTCATCTAGAACAGGATCTTGCTGGTTGTGCATAAATACACTCATCTAGAACAGGATCTTGCTGGTTGTGCATAAACGCACTCATTTAGGACAGGATCTTGCTGGTTGTGCATAACCTCACTCATCTGGAATAGGATCTTGCTGGTTGTGCATTAACTCACTGATTTAGAACAGGATCTTGCTGGTTGTGCATAAACTCACGCATCTAGAACAGGATCTTGCTGGTTGTGCATAAATGCACTCATCTAGAACAGGATCTTGCTGGTTGTGCATAAATACACTCATCTAGAACAGGATCTTGCTGGTTGTGCATAAACGCACTCATTTAGGACAGGATCTTGCTTGTTGTGCATAACCTCACTCATCTGGAATAGGATCTTGCTGGTTGTGCATTAACTCACTGATTTAGAACAGGATCTTGCTGGTTGTGCATAAACTCACGCATCTAGAACAGGATCTTGCTGGTTGTGCATAAATGCACTCATCTAGAACAGGATCTTGCTGGTTGTGCATAAACTCACTCATCTGGAATAGGATCTTGCTGGTTGTGCATAAATGCACTCATCTAGAACAGGATCTTGCTGGTTGTGCATAAATGCACTCATCTAGAACAGGATCTTATTGGTTGTATATAAAATATTTACAATAACACAAATTCAACAAGTCCAGCACATCATGGCAGTGCTGGTGGTACCAAGGAACAAATAGCCCAACCATTTCTACAGACAAGACGTGAGTCCTCACCGTTGTGTCTCTCTGTGACATTTCTTAAATTATAATGACATAGTTGCCGTCTTACCGGAACATGCAGGGCAGCGTACAGGATCATGCCTAGACTGTACACCAGTCTCCCCAGCACCAGGGTGTCCTCGCCAAGCAGATCAAAAGTGTTCTCCTTCCTGAAGGTTCAAATCATCACAATTACTGGACAGAGAGCTACAAGCACTACTTCAGGGCTAGTTTAATTAATACCATCTGATTGGGTCAAATGTTTGTGAAACAACAGAGAAAGTGACGTAAATATACCTAGGTATGCTCCCCGTATTCAACATACAAAGACCCACTGATCCACCGATGTCACCGATGTCACAAATATGTCATTACTCATTCTTGAGATACAAAAACTAGGTGAATACTTTTTAGTGCGATATTAGATCTGTCTTGTGGCCACCAGTCGACCCTCAGTATGATGTCTGTACAGGCAAGCCAGCCAACTTGTAGGAAATGTCAGAAAACAGCTAGTGGCCACATCAGATTTTACAATGAGCAATGATAATGTTTAAACACACAAAACATTTAGGTCACAGGAGTGTATTAATCATGTCCAGATAAACATATTTCTCTAGAATGTTGGTTTTGCGCTGACTTTAGAAATGTAACCTAAAGATAACAGAGAGACCATACCTGTCAAAGTTTTTCATGAGGGGGTAGAAGAAGTGTCCTGCCACTGGTGCAAACATGTTGGGCATAGGCTGTGGCAGGGGTTGTGATCGACCTCTGGCAAACCTTCGAGTCTTAGACTCAATCCTCTTCTCCACAATCTCCCTCCATGTAGCACTGTCCGCCTGGCTGGAGGACTGTATCTCTTCCACCTTCCTGTGCGCTGCTTGCGTCGACGGTGGAGATGGTTTAGATAGCTCCTTAGCTGCAGCCACAAGAACCTGGGGGAGGGGGAGAGGTAAAAAGCTGCACGAAATATTACTTCCTTGCAATTGGTAGAGATAATAACCCATTATTTAGCAATTCAAACATGAGACAGCATGTTGTTTTCATGTGTGAGGATAGTTTATTTTATTGCCGCAGGATGCACAAGCTTCCCCATGATCATGGTGTGGTGTGGACAAATCCAGGATTATAATCAGGTGTATCTTGGGTTGGCACCAACAGCATACAGATCTCTGCTGTAATTATCTCTGTACAGTTGTAGCACCTGAGACCACATGGCTATTCTTGCCTCTTACAAAACATAAAGAAAATATATACAAATACACAATACAATATCCTATATATAAGTGGGGTCAACATGAGCTTATGGATGTCTGGTGGTAACTGTGTAGTTGCAAATGTTCTAACATACTTCAAGTCATCTGGCACCAATATGTAACAGGATTGGTAAACTATAAGACAAACTGTCAAAGATACTGTGTTACTCCAACAAAAATCTGAATTATTATATATTGTCTGCAGCAAAGGTGAATGAGAGCGCCGCCTCCATGTCACTGTACTGTACCCCACCATGTGACATAATGGCTCTGTAGGATGGTATCAACGGAATCACAGTAGAAATTCAGGGAAATTTGTAAATGCAGACATTTGTATCCACTATCCATACAGACATTATACTTTCTAAAACATGAATAATGTTTTGTCTCTTACATTGTAATAAGGTTAAATTCCATGACTACTATCTTCTTGCAAGCTTTGGTGCTGTCGTAACCAAGGGTGTCTGTATCACAATAGATTGCACAGTGACCACCTTACTTTTTCATTTTGACAGTTACACTAAATCACTTTAGGATATTACTGATCTAAAGGAGATGAATACTCCCACTACAGACCAGCACACATTTTGACAGTTACACTAAATCACTTTAGGATATTACTGATCTAAAGGAGATGAATACTCCCACTACAGACCAGCACACATTTTGACAGTTACACTAAATCACTTTAGGATATTACTGATCTAAAGGAGATGAATACTCCCACTACAGACCAGCACACATTTTGACAGTTACACTAAATCACTTTAGGATATTACTGATCTAAAGGAGATGAATACTCCCACTACAGACCAGCACACATGTTTCATTTGCCCATTTCCATTCATTTCATTCTAATATCAATTCTATTATCAATTCTACAGTAACTCAGAAGATACCAGGACACAGGGATGTGTGATGTCCTTCATCTGTGTTTATCTGGCCAACAGGTATTAGCATCACAACCTATGGAACACTGGTTCTGGAGCATTTGCCTCAACTCACATGTTTCAGCAGAACTTCTGCTCATACTACCCTTGGTGCAGTCTGGAGATAAACGTTCTGGAATCCTGAGGTTTGCATTTTGCACTATATGATCATGAGTCTGAGCTTGTGAAAGTATCTTTAGAAAAATGTATATATGCTTGTTAGATTCATACTTTTACTATTAATGTTTAGTACTTTTGTTTCAAATTTCCAATAAGAAATCAGTGCATCCTGTCATCTAAGGGCTGCAATGTTTAAGTCAGTTTCACAACTCAGCATAGCCCTATAGTATGTTATATATCAGTTGATCACCTCTAGGATGTCCATCCTCTGCCGCAGGTTGTAGTTCCTCTCATAGAACTCCTGTGTCAGATAGTCAGCCACCTACAACATGGAGGGTAAGAAAGAGTCTCTCACTGTAGTCGGAAATACTACAGCTGTATTACAGCAGTCTTTCACTGTTGTCAGCAATACTACAGCTGTATTACAGCAGTCTTTCACTGTTGTCAGCAATACTACAACTGTATTACAGCAGTCTTTCACTGTTGTCAGCAATACTACAGCTGTATTACAGCAGTCTTTCACTGTTGTCAGCAATACTACAGATGTATTACAGCAGTCTTTCACTGTTGTCAGCAATACTACAACTGTATTACAGCAGTCTTTCACTGTAGTCAGCAATACTACAGCTGTATTACAGCAGTCTTTCACTGTTGTCAGCAATACTACGGCTGTATTACAGCAGTCTTTCACTGTTGTCAGCAATACTACAGCTGTATTACAGCAGTCTTTCACTGTTGTCAGCAATACTACAGCTGTATTACAGCAGTCTTTCACTGTTGTCAGCAATACTACAGATGTATTACAGCAGTCTTTCACTGTTGTCAACAATACTACAGCTGTATTACAGCAGTCTTTCACTGTTGTCAGCAATACTACAGCTGTATTACAGCAGTCTTTCACTGTTGTCAGCAATACTACAGCTGTATTACAGCAGTCTTTCACTGTTGTCAGCAATACTACAGATGTATTACAGCAGTCTTTCACTGTTGTCAGCAATACTACAGATGTATCACAACAATCTCTCATTGTAGTCAGCAATACTACAGATTTACAACACCAATCTCTCACTGTAGACGAAAATACTACAGCTGTATTACAGCAGTCTTTCACTGTTGTCAGCAATACTACAGATGTATTACAGCAGTCTTTCACTGTTGTCAACAATACTACAGCTGTATTACAGCAGTCTTTCACTGTTGTCAGCAATACTACAGCTGTATTACAGCAGTCTTTCACTGTTGTCAGCAATACTACAGCTGTATTACAGCAGTCTTTCACTGTTGTCAGCAATACTACAGATGTATTACAGCAGTCTTTCACTGTTGTCAGCAATACTACAGATGTATCACAACAATCTCTCATTGTAGTCAGCAATACTACAGATTTACAACACCAATCTCTCACTGTAGACGAAAATACTACAGCTGTATTACAGCAGTCTTTCACTGTTGTCAGCAATACTACAGATGTATTACAGTAGTCTTTCACTGTAGTCAGCAATACTACAGCTGTATTACAGCAGTCTTTCACTGTTGTCAGCAATACTACAGATGTATTACAGCAGTCTTTCACTGTAGTCAGCAATACTACAGATGTATTACAGCAGTCTTTCACTGTTGTCAGCAATACTACAGTTATATCACAACGATCTCTCACTGTAGTCAGCAATACTACAGATGTACAACACCAATCTCTCACTGTAGTCAGCAATACTACAGATGTATCACAATGATCTCTCACTGTAGTCAGCAATACTACAGATGTACAACACCAATCTCTCACTGTAGTCAGCAATACTACAGATATATCACAACGATCTCTCACTGTGGTCAGTAATACTACAGATGTATCACAACGATCTCTCACTGTGGTCAGTAATACTACAGATATATCACAACGATCTCTCACTGTGGTCAGTAATACTACAGATGTACCACAAGGATCTCTCACTGTAGTCAGCAATACTACAGATATATCACAACGATCTCTCACTGTAGTCAGCAATACTACAAATGTATCACAATGATCTCTCACTGTAGTCAGCAATACTACAGATATATCACAACGATCTCTCACTGTGGTCAGTAATACTACAGATGTACCACACCAATCTCTCACTGTGGTCAGTAATACTACAAATGTATCACACCAATCTCTCACTGTAGTCAGCAATACTACAGATGTACAACACCAATCTCTCACTGTAGTCAGCAATACTACAGATGTATCACAGCAATCTTTAACTGTAGTCAGCAATACTACAGATGTATCACAACAATCTCTCACTGTAGTCAGCAATACTACAGATGTACCACACCAATCTCTCACTGTAGTCAGCAATACTACAGATGTACCACACCAATCTCTCACTGTAGTCAGCAATACTACAGATGTACCACACCAATCTCTCACTGTAGTCAGCAATACTACAGATGTATCACAGCAATCTTTAACTGTAGTCAGCAATACTACAGATGTATCACACCAATCTCTCACTGTAGTCAGCAATACTACAAATGTATCACAACGATCTCTCACTGTAGTCAGCAATACTACAAATGTATCACAACAATCTCTCACTGTTGTCAGCAATACAGTCTACTGAGACTGTGTGATTCCCGCAGATAATGGCAGGTAAACATAGGAGACATTGCAGATTCCTGCAGGTCTTCTTTTACAAGATTGAAACTACAGGTAGCACAGTGTTAATCCTCTACAAAAGACATCTGTCAAGTAAAAACCACAGTTACTGTGGTAGGAGTATCAGTAACATGAGTAACAGCTACTGTTGGAGGTAGAAGCTGTGACATACCGTCCGGGGACACTGCACTGTGAGAGCCACCATTGCAGCAGAGCGCCTGGTGATGAAACCCCTGTAGCTGGCGCCGTCACTGAGGTGGAGCAGGACCTTTGTGAACTCGGCTGCTATCTGGACACAGAGAACAGTGGTAACAGCAACAACAGGAGAGGAGGGGTCAGACTGTGTCTAACAATAGCAGTCATACCAGTTCAATGTAATGTAACGATTTGCTAAAAGATTGTCATGTGGGTATAACGATGCTGTCTTAAAGATGAAATAAAGAATAAAAACTGTGTTAAATTGCTAACAACATTAAAATGCAGAAATTCAAATTTGAACTTAAGTCTAATTTGTTGTTATAGAAACTGGGAATTTAAAAAAAACACCCCAAATAGCAAAAGGCACCAGTTCATGGCAGGACTAAAATCTGTTGCTAGTTCAATCAATAAATATTGGAATTCTTTGATACATAATAATAAAGCTTTGGTGGTGAATTGGTCCAGTGTATGTATTATAATATAATTGTGGTATGATCCCCTGGAATGTTACATTCCAGTTATTGTCTCAGACTCAATTGTCAAGTGTATCACACATCCATTCCATTACGATAAATACTCTCGACCCATTCGCCTCCATAGCTTCGTTTGGAGTTCAGTTCAAATGACAGGACACTAAAAATAGTCATGACACAATATTGGTTACAGGAACACCATATACTGGTAAGTAACAACAACACAAGTACTTGACTTGTGTTATTACCCTGCCTCATCCCTGTACACCTTGTGAGTGTCATCACCCGATGTATGGATGCTGTTGCAAGGTTAGTTTAAGTTTTCACACCGTAGTATTCAAGCAAATCAGCAATTTTTATAACATAACCACAATAAACGCATTTAAATAGATCCATAAAAGAGTTGAATAGTTGCATATGAAATATTCCTGCTGTCTACTGTGTAAATACTCTGCATAACTATTTCAGATTTATGAAGATAAAGTTGAACAATTTCAGCTTCATGTTACTAAATGAATCTGAACAAGTATTTGTCACAAAGTGACGAAATGTCCCCCGCCTGTATATACACCATAGTACCAAATATGAAGACAATCCAGCGATTAGTTCTTGAGATATTGCGGCAACACCGTTTTCCAACTCCAAAAGCAGATTTGCCTGCTGTGACCTTGAAAATGGGGTCAAGGTCACCAAAACCGACTGGTGTCTACGGTGTCTCTATATACACAATAGTTTTAAATATGAAGACAATCCAGCGATTAGTTCTTGAGATATTGCGGCAACACCGTTTTCCAACTCCAAAAGCAGATTTGCCTGCTGTGACCTTGAAAATGGGGTTAAGGTCACCAAAACCGACTGGTGTCTGCGGAGTCTGTATATACACCATAGTTCCAAATATGAAGACAATCCAGTGTTTAGTTCTTGAGATATCGCGGCAACAAACAGGTGGGACGTACGGACGGACGTACGTACGGATGGTCGTGAATACTATGTCCCCCGCTTCGCGCATTCGCGTGGCGGTGGACAATAACATACATCTGAACTCATGTCCCCTGATCTGTAGGCTGTTATCAGAAAAACTAAAGTGAATTGTACGACATTCGAACTATGTTTATGTCAGAAAGAACCATATTGCATATGGATATGAGCAGTTGCACGTTATAAGTATGTAGGGAGAAGATTAATTGGTAAGGTTCTGTCCTTGTTATGGCCTGCTTCCGTTGCCCGTTGGCGCTGGTAAACATCTTCTCCTCAGATTTACTGACAACAGAGCTAATTTCTCAATGCCCCATGGGACACCTATCCTTTAAACATGTTTTGTTCTCCAATAACCCAACCCAAACAACTTAGTCAATTGAACTTAAAGAAATTTATCTTGATTTTGACTGAATCAATCTGTTAGCAAAAATACAACACAGAGACTTTGTACCTCCTGAAGACCATCTGGATTCCTCCTAATGAGAGTCTCGGCCTCCTGGAGACACACGTCCACTCTGTCCACGTCGTCCGTGCTGATAAGGCCATCCATACAGTCCCGCACATATTTGGGGACCTTCACCTTGGTCCGGACTACATCATGTGACATGTCAAAGGCCTGGAGGTCATCATCGCTGTAGTACATAAATAGATCTCCATGACAGAATGCCAACAACATGGCCAGGGCTTATCACCAATATGAAAGCTCAATGATATAACACATTGCAAAATATTGCCTTTAGTTTCACATACCCATAATACCTGAACTTCATCCTTCTGGAATCCATCAACATAAGTTAAACAAGAATACACAAAAATATGAAACTGAAATCTAAATATAACAAAACAACATAAATATTTCATCATGAAAAAGGCAGAAATGGCAGCGTAATGGGCAAATACGACAATTTCAACATGCATGCCACATATAAAATATTCTGTAGATAATTTGAGTGACGCAATTGCTTCTACTATATTCATTAGATTTCAGATTCATAATCCCGGTTTCCGAGATGCCCCAAATATACATGAAAGGGGGTGAAGGTCAGGGACTACAGCAGGGTCAAGAATCCCATCATACCATATAACAAGAAGTACGAAGGATGGGATCCGCAAGGCCCTGGACCGGGTCAAGAATCCCATCATACCATATAACAAGAAGTATGAAGGATGGGGTACACAAGGCCCTGGACCGGGTCAAGAATCCCATCATACCATATAACAAGTAGTACAAGGATAGGGTACGCAAGGCCCTGGACCGGGTCAAGAATCCCATCATACCATATAACCATGATAACAAGTAGTACGAAGGATGGGGTACGCAAGGCCCTGGACCGGGTCAAGAAACCCATTACACCATATGATTTCAAGGGTGATGTTAAAACGTGTTAGTTAGATTTGTTGAAAGTAATAATCAAAATACTATCTATTGGTATTCTTAATACTTTCTAGCGATCAAACTTAATGAGGAATTGTATGTATTGAAGCGTATGAAACATCAACTGTCTTTCGCTCAGATTAAGTAAAGTAATTCAGATGAAAGTGAAGAATTCACTGATACATAGTTTAGACATGAACAAGAAATAATTGAATCAATCGAATAATCTTTTGATGCACCATTTCAAGTAACACAAGAAGGTTTGGAGCAACAGACATCAATAGATCAACAAAGCAATGTGCCATAAAAGGGAAATTAAATAGATGTTCCCCTACATAATTAATGTTAAGAATATCGATAATGATTGTTAGAAATGGGAATTAAGATCTGCCTTATTCCCAGAAGATTAAAAAAATCACCCAGACTTTAAAGCTACAGATTCACCCACACCATTTTCAAAATTGCAAAAAGTTGAAAATGAAAAACTTAGTTATTACTCTATTTGTAAATGTTAAAGATACAAAAGGATCATTGTACCCAGGATAAGCTCTGCTTGTGAGCAGAGAGTCAATCTATTTCTGGTTGAAAACGATGGACTTTTACATTACACTTGGATAGCCTGTTATAGGATCAAACAGCTCATAGAGAGAAAACCTACTTGTGTGAAACATGTCTGCATGCATATTGCAGAGAAGATCTACTACAATCATATAAGGACAAGTGTAGAGGAGTTTGGCAGACTGCTATTAGAGATGAGGAAAGAGATGCTTTCCTTGATTGGTTGGATGGTTTGTTGTTTAATGCTGCACTCAGCAATATTCCAGCTACATGACGGCGGTCTGTAAATAATCGAGTCTGGACCAGACAATCCAGTGATTAATGTCATGAGCATCGATCCTCGCAACTGGGATCGATGACAAGCATCAACCAAGTCAGCGAGCCTGACCACCCGATCCCGTTAGTTGCCTTTTATGACAAGCATAGTCGCCTTTTACGGCAAGCATGGGTTGCTGAAGACCTATTCTACCCCGAATCTTCACGGGTCGTTTCCTTGAAGAATTACCAAAATCAATTGCCAGTACCATACATATCTATGCCGATTTCGAGGCTCTCATTACAAAAACACTGAGGTGGTACTCATTACACTTGGAAGAGACAATAACAAAAGAAAAGGGCTCCTGGGCAATCATGTAATGCAATATGTGACATGAAACACAGACTGGTGCTGATGGTGGCAACTTACCTGTCCAGGTCGGAATCCTCCCCCAACCCTGACTGTGACGGCTGGGGTGCTTCCCTCGGGACAGCAGCTGGCAAGGGTGTGCTCTCTGATATCACTGTCTTTCCCAACATCCTGCAAATAAAGTGAGTATTAGCAATTGTGCTGGCTGTGTAGCTCACCTGGCAAGAATGGAAATGTCTTTGCATACAAGGATATCATAATGTTGTAATCATAAATAACAAGGCCAGGTTTAATCTAATATACAGTTACCGGTATACATTGTTATTTCAATCAATAGCATTTCAATCAACAGCTGAAGTTCAATACCCCCTGCTGATGCCAGAAACCTGGAATGAACGTCCTCCATAGGACCCACATTTGATATTCATATTCTCTCCATGCCAACTATCTGCTCTCCAGAACACTTTTGACATCTTTGGGTTAACTGTCAGTAGGCTGTTAATAGTTTTTAAACTTGAACTGTTTCACTCTTGTCTTCCCATCATGTAATGCCCTCCGCATGATGCTCATGTGATTAGTTTTCCTTTGTGCCAGATAAATGACATATTTCCACTGTTAAGTCTAATCTCCCCCTTCACAGTGATCAGTTCCTTCTGTTCCTACATACACTTCTGTGCAACCTGTCCTGCTGGAGTTGACAATCTCCCGCCAGATCACCAGACACACAACACACAATGTACAAAACGTTGTCGTCTTCAAATCATACTTAAATGTTTCTGACTTTTTCTTCAAGAAATTGTATCTATACAACTGAATTATTTTGATTTGTTTTCCCAAGAAATTTCCAAAGATTCTTTGTGTACTTATCCACAGACAGATTAGCTCATCTCCGTTACCTCTGACTTTGTGTAATGACAAGGTGGTCCCCTGCCCAACAGGTAGCTTTTTGGAATTCCCAGAATCTTCTAGGTATCCCAAGCATCCAAGTGCACACATAACCCTGAAATACTTACAACGACATTTGTCCTATTGTCCTAAACAGTGCCGAAGATGTGGCCATTGGAGTTTCAAATGCTTTGTCTTTGTGATAGGAGGAACATCTGTCAAGTTGTGTTGATGTGCTGGTGAAATGTTACAGTCTTCCTTGATCTACTGATGTAAGTTTAGCGGCCTTGTTTGAGTCTCTTGATGGGATTCAAACCTTCTGGTCTGAGGTCAGATGCCTTGTCCACATGACCAAAGAGGTTAACCCTGACAAGGTAAGGATGTCAATTATGGGATGACTTCAAGCACTGCTACATACTACCCCCCCCCACCCCCCCGTCAACAGAAGGCATGTCCCAGGCCGCATAGTAGGGATATGAGTCTCATTTTGCTCAAATTTAATATGAGCATCCTCAGCCCCAAGTTTGGTGCCAATGTAGCGGGCATAAAATTTAAACCCATGATGGGATTCAAACTGCAGACCTTCTGATCAGAGGTCGGACACCTTGTCCACAAGACCAAAGAGGTAAGGATGACTCCTACGCCCTGCTACATAAGCATGACTGGAAGTAAGTCCATCACCTCTCCAAGAGGTCCTGCTGCTCACAGTCTGTAGAACACAGACATTCTGGTGGTGCTGGGAAAGATCAAGCTTTATTCCCAACAGAGCTACCATCAACCTGGCTCCTTTGGTCATGGACTGTATGCTTGCTGTTGTCAGGGCCAGCCTGCATGTGACGTGTCCAGTGTTGGTTATTGAGACAGTAGCAGACTGCCACAGAAGACAGCAGGAAAATACAGGCAGACATCTTAACACCTTGTGTCCACACAGTCTCTTCTCCGTGTGTGGGTGTGCTTAATAACTCATCATAATATAATAATCATATACTCATCTATTTATTTGGAACTGAAAATAGACATCCATACTATCCTTTGAGCATTTTACATATTTGTTTTAAAGATCATAGGGTCTTATTGTTATCAGTGTGAATTATTAAATGGAAAGACCTTATATTGGCTCAAATAATAATAAAATGCAAATAAATGTTATATATCAGCTGACCAGCTTTACACAACCTGAAATATTTAAAACTGGTCCTGATGGCTACCCTACAGTTTGAAAGTTAAACTTCTTCCTATCTGTCATCATTATCACAGGTATCACATTCACCAGCCTCATCAGAAGCAGCCTCTTGTTAACACTTCAACACCAATGTTGCCAATCATACACCCTCCCCAACCAGAGGACCAGCAGTACTGAAGCTCACCATAACCAAGTGATACAAGCCCTGAGTAACAGAGAGGAACTAAACCACCACATTTGTCCCAAAACCATTTGACCCAGCATATGGATTCGATGCAATGAGTTTTCATTTATATTTTTCAAGTTCACTGAACACTTTCTGGTACCTATTATGATACCCCAGGATATGTGAACAGAGATGTGACTGTGAAATTTGACGATTTTATTATTCAGTCACAACTGAAACCTAGGCAGTTTTACTCATGTTTTCCTTTGCTTCAATACAACATTTGCATGTATGTAATTCAAATAATGTATACATCTCACATAAGACCCACTAATCAAGCTAGGGAAACTTCAAGTGTAATGTTTTGGTTAGTTGCAAACTTCTATCCTTCACAAACATCTGAAATGTCTTATAATTCAGTATACTGGTTCATGAAAACACATTTAAAACTTTTATCTGGAATAAGTGCCTATTTCACATTCTGGTGACCTTGACCTTTCAAAAAGGCAACCAATGTTAATACAACTTGGGACAATGCCTCAGCGGTCAAGCTGAAGTCACTACCTATACACTATGCCTTACGATCAGCTGACGTACGTACAGCTTATGATGGCAGTGTTTTGAATACACTACACTGAATTATGATAGTCATGTCTCATCTTGAAGACAATAAACATGATAAACGTCAAATACAAGCAATGACACTATCTAGTACATTACAGCAGACATGTTTATGTAAAATTAACATAAAATTAATGGTGAAAAGATATGACGATACAGTGTTGTACCTGATATGAGCCCAATGATACAATACATTCATTTACAGACCCTGTATTGTGTTGCATACGATAAATTTTATTACAAGTTATATTGGTGTAAAACCATGTGAATAATAACAGAAACTGTTCAGCCCCCAGCTTCCCAGATTCTCTAGTATTTTTCTGGTTGGACATAAATAGGGCAACATTCACAGCGTGCCCGCCCTCTAGCATGTCTAGCCTCTATGTTTCTGCCCTACAATATCCTTCTTTGATGTCTTTGATTTGAAAAATGAATGATTCAATGTTGTGATTCATCTTCAAGAAGAAAGAATATCAACTTAAAAAAATAAAAGTACTGTACCTGGATATGAATTGTATCGCACTCATAGTATCAGGGTATGTATCATATCACCACCCCACCCTATCATTACACCTCAACAGATAATATTGCATGTTTGCATTGAAATATTGCATGAATTTGTGCAAAAGTACTGGGAATCTCTGCAATCATTTGCATAATCCATATTCTTGCATTTGCTGCTTTTCCTGTTTTTCATGGAGGTGAGAGGTCAGATGACAAGTATGAGAAGTGTGTTTGCCACCAAATAAACACTACTATTTTAACAAAATTGATCTTGACAGTCATATTTACATACAATACCAAATGAGTGAGTGAGTGAGTCGGGTTTAATGCCACTTTGAACAGTTTTCCAGTTATATCACGGCGCATCAGCTTGATACGCGAGGAAAGCCCAAAGTGATGCAGGTCTCAGACGTTTATCACTTCGGTGAAACCCACGAGCACGGGCATGGTGCTGACAAACCTAGAAACACACCTGGGGTAAACCAAGATTCAAACTCATGATCATAGATTTCTGATGTGCACAAGGGCCGCAACTCTGCACAGCGAATTGCAGCCCCTTATATCACTTGAAAAGACCCCAAGAAGCACAGCTGAGTGTAACTAGAGCTTGGTTGAGGGTTTGCAAGTAATTGCAATATATACTGAAGTAGCACTTCACTGCCATTTCCTCAAAGCAACCAAAATATTATCAAGCCATGTATTTCCATTCCGAAAATAAAACTTCCAGAATTTTAACTTAAACACTACAACTTTCAAGATGCAACAATCAGGATTGCACAGCTAGACATGCAGCTGTAACCTGCAATGAATGATGCATCCATGTTCCAAAATAACCTCAAGGATGACCTCGAACCTTGACAGACATGCCATGAGTATTATATATGCTGGGGGGATAAAAATGGCCCCATCCTAGAGAAGGCAATTGCCAAGTTGAGTTACAAATGGATCAATATTAAACAACCACAAACTTCCTTGTGAGTTTTTTAACCTTGACCTTACCTTTTCATGACGTGTCAATAGAATTCTGCAGGGCAATTTGGAAGAAATCCATAAGAGAATAATATCTAATGTCACTAATCTTTCTATGACAGATCTTAGAAAAATTCCTGTCGCAGAACAAATACTAACAAAAGCTTTTATCAGTCCTGAATCCTAGATCATTGATTGTGTTTACATTTTGTTATAGGACATATGGCAGATGGATTACCTGGTTATAAATGTGGGCTGTTTTCAGTATTAACACTCTCACTGGGAATATGGCAGACAAAGCTTGATATTCAGCTGATTTAACACACCCTACTTCAGACACCTGCCATGGTCATGACGGTGGCCATTTTGATACATTCAAACTTAAAACTTTACTGAAAAGAAGAGTGAGTGATTGAGTTCGGTTTAACGCCGCTTTTAACATTATTCCAGTTATATCACGGCGTGTCAGCTCAATGTGGGAGGAAAGCCCGAAGTGATGCAGGTCTAAGACGTTTACCACTTCGGTGAAACCCACGAGCACGAGTATGGTGCTGACAAACCTAGAAACATAATTGGGGCGAACCCGGATTCGAACCCACAATCATAGGTTTCTGGCGAATCGCGGCGCCTTAGACGACTGGGCCACTCGTGCCCCTCACTGAAAAGAAGAATGTTATGAATATCCACCAATGACTTGAGGCAATATTTCCACTAGTTCTGCACAAGAGGTTGCTGGGAAGGCGGTATCTTCACTATCATGTGCTTTGGTGGTGGCCAGACAAAGGGCACTTTGATCAGAAACAGTACAATCACCAAAACTCCAAGTCACTTTGATATAAATTCATGTTCTTCAAACACGCCATGCCAGGAACATCATTTGACAACATGAAAGTCTTTAAGTGCAAGTATCATGAAAAATAGAGAAATATTTTCTTACATCATGATGTAGCCAGTATGATGTACAATATGATGGCTGAGAAACACAGCGGGAAAATGTCAATTTAGCGCTGTTGAGCTTAATTAAAAGTAGATATCTGAGGTTAGTATTGGTAACAACCCAAACAAATCTTAAAAGCACAAATGAGGGGGCGTGGCTTAATTAGCACGGCCGGCTGAAGCTGAATGGGCAATATCACCAGCCGCATACAGAATCTACATGATCGTTTCTTCAGGTGCAGGAAGAGCTGTGAGGTATATATAATATGGCAAGTGGGGGCGTGTCAAGTAAACTTGATTTAACATGAATAATTTTTAACATTGTAAAATATTGTTATTTTCAATTTAAGTGGTGCAGGTCCCACCACACATCACCACTACCACCATCCCCAATCCATGCCGTTATAAAGATAAACATCATTTGGTCTTTGTAGCCAATTAGTGCCAATTACCCAGAACAGTGTTTGTCTCACCTACAGTTACTCATCTCACATCAACTGCATGCCCCTGAGTAGATTATTGCATAACGTATGTCAGCAGTCAGTCCAGGTACCACACAACACTCAGTCATGTGTACAGTGTATGTGTAACACGTTTACAAAAAGTGACACAGACTCACAGGGTCTTTGACATGATAATTCATCTTTCTAGTGCTATTTCAAGACAATCTAACCAAATCTGTGTTGTGCAATCACTTGTGATCCATGCTTCCAAGATGGGGGTCATCGTGGTTATTTCTGTCACAACTGTCAGTCACAGGTTCACAGGTGTTCATTGTACTTCTTTCCCAAAAAGCACCAATTCATCTTCCGAGACAACTCAAAGACTATCGTCACTGTCAGAGTTGGTCATATCGGCAAGTTATGATCAATTTGAGCTCATGATACCACAAAAAGGAACGAGGTGCGATCGATGCTTCATCATTTTATACACAGATCAGCGAATACTGTAAACAAATAATCTCACAACAAAACACAAGAAAGTACAGAAAGCGAACAATAAACACAAGTGAAGAAATAGCATGTTTCACACATCACTGTTCAAACAGTGAGCTCAATGTGTGGTGTAAATGGCCTTTGTCACATTTCCGTTGTTGAACGAAAAAGGAGTGTTTCTTTATCCTTTGATCATCTCTCATATGAAGGAAAGTGTAGTGTACAAATGGTCAGTGTTTAATTGTAAATAGGAGAATGTCCAGGGATTTAGAAGAGTGAAGAATAGACTTCCTTTGCCGACCATGACTGTGAACGATCAAGCATGTAATTTTGGAGGAAATCGCCTCCCCACATGTCCATATACGGAGCCTCTATATCTGCCTCCGCTGTATTTCGTTTCAGTCTCTGAAACTGGTAGACAAGACTAAAGTGCAAATAAACCTTATTTACACGCCACTTTCAATGTTTTGAATACATATTTGCATTAACAATGTTATGATCTATCCAATTCTGCAAAGTTGTATATGTCCATGAGACTTGCATTTTAGACTTTACTGCTTTCTGTAAATGTTGTGCGCAGAAGACACAGTTGATTAAAACAAAGGGAGACAACAGATGAACATCACCTGTCCAGTGCATCAACATTTGGCTCCTCAGGTACAGCTGTTGCCGCCAGCAACGCATCAATCTCAGCATCACACTCAGACTGAAAATGAAAACAAACACTCAAACAAAAAGTACCAGGTACAGATATACGGATCCCTGAGGGATGATGTGAAAATAAATACAACACCCGGAGGAAGTGAGAGAGTGAGTGAGTATGGTTTTACGACACTTTTAGCAATATTCCAGCAAAATCATGGCAGGGGACCCCAGGAAAAAAATTCACTCATTGCCTTTGGCGTAAAGCTTTAACCACAAGGTTACCCCACCTCCCTTTGAAGGGGTCATTAGTTATGGCAAAATGTTCATCATATTAAGAGGGCAAACCATTTTTATACTCTGATTGATGAAGTCACTCTGGGATACCTGGAAGAGTTTTACTGATCAAGATGTCGTCTACCAAGTGTGTGACTGACCTGGAAGTTGAGCTGCGGTCCACCTTGGTCCACCTGTCGGGTAAGGTTCTCAGCCACTGTCATGCCCAGCCTCCGCATCTTTGGGTCAGAGTGGCCGATGTGACACGACACTCCCGGCATCAGGAGACGAACAAACTCTGAAATAACGAAACTCTACTTACAATTTCTGAATAAATGCTGGATGAAATGCCCACATTAGTGTAACAACACTGTAACTCACCTGTCACTCACTGTCACTCACTGTCACTCACTGTCAGCATTCCACAGCTCTGTATCACAAGGTCACCCAGGGCCTTCTTTTTTCTTTTTCAAAGTTATATCTCCCACAAACATGTACATTGACATGTCATAACCAGTAAATATGAAAAGAACAGAGCATATAATATTGTTTTTTGTTTTTAAGTAAAGGTAGTAATCAGGTATTACAAAAAAATCACTTTGAATTCGCAGGGTCTGAATGATGACCAATAGCAGTAATATTTGGATTGATTACAATTTGTAAATGCTATAATTTTTGTTATTAAATAAAATTATAGAATTTCTCTTTGAATTTGTCAAAAAAAGCTATAAGGGTCTTTTCTCTATTCTCCTCATTTTATGGATGGCTTGTCTAGCTATCAATCTAATAGCATTTAAAAAATCATTATATATACACCTAAAGCCACAAAGTATTTTTGTCTGATGTAGCACATGGTCTGACATAATAAACTTACCATCCTTGTACGCTTCCTTCTCCTGGGAGTTCAGATGTCCCACACAGATGAGCACTGCCTGGGAGATGTAGCGATGTTGCTCGTACGCTGTATGCTTAACACTGCTGGCATCCCCCCACACCTCTAGCAGCGACAGAAACACCTGCACAGAGAGACAACATCAACTTGACAGTGATGACAAACTACCCAGTATCTGCTGACACACAAACCAGAGACATATCAACTTGACAGTAATGACAAACTACCCAGTATCTCCTGACACACTACAGAGAGACATCATCAACTTGACAGTCATGACACACTACCCAGTATCTGCTGACACACGACAGAGAGACATCATCAACTTGACAGTCATGACACACTACCCAGTATCTGCTGACACACGACAGAGAGACATCATCAACTTGACAGTCATGACACACTACAGAGAGACATCATCAACTTGACAGTCATGACACACTATAGAGAGACATCATCAACTTGACAGTCATGACACACTACAGAGAGACATCATCAACTTGACAGTAATGACACACTACCAAGTATCTGCTGACACACAACAGAGAGACTACATGAGTGTGTTACATGGCCAGGCTACATGAGCGTGTTACATGGCCGGGCTACATGAGCGTGTTACATGAGTGTGTTACATGGCCGGGCTACATGAGCATGTTACATGGCCGGACTACATCAGCGTGTTACATGGCCAGGCTACATGAGCGTGTAACATGGCCGGGCTTCATGAGTGTGTTACATGGCCAGGCTACATGAGTGTGTTACATGGCCGGGCTACATGAGCATGTTACATGGCCGGGCTACATGAGTGTGTTACATGGCCAGGCTACATGAGCATGTTACATGGCCGGGCTACATGAGTGTGTTTCATGGCCAGGCTACATGAGTGTGTTACATGGCCAGGCTACATGAGTGTGTTACATGGCCAGGCTACATGAGCTTGTTACATGGCCGGGCTACATGAGTGTGTTTCATGGCCAGGCTACATGAGTGGGTTACATGGCCGGGCTACATGAGTGTGTTACATGGCCGGGCTACATGAGTGTGTTGCATGGCCGGGCTACATGAGTGGGTTACATGAGCATGTTACATGAGCGTGTTACATGGCCGGGCTACATGAGTGTGTTACATGGCCAGGCTACATGAGTGGGTTACATGGCCGGGCAACATGAGCATGTTACATGGCCTGGCTACATGAGTGGGTTACATGGCCAGGCTACATGAGTGGGTTTCATGTCCAGGCTACATGAGTGGGTTACATGGCAGGGCTACATAAGTCGGCTACATGGCCGGGCTACATGAGTGGGTTACATGGCCAGGCTACATGAGTGGGTTACATGGCCGGGCTACATGAGTGGGTTACATGACCGGGCTACATGAGTGGGTTACATGGCCGGGCTACATGAGTGGGTTACATGGCCGGGGCTACATGAGTGGGTTACATGGCCGGGCTACGTGAGTGGGTTACATGGCCAGGCTACATGAGTGGGTTACATGGCCAGGCTACATGAGTGGGTTACATGGCCGGGCTACATGAGTGGGTTACATGGCCGGGCTACATGAGTGGGTTACATGGCCAGGCTACATGAGTTGGTTACATGGCCAGGATACATGAGCGTGTTACATGGCCAGGCTACATGAGAGGGTCACATGGCCAGGCTACAAGAGTGGGTTACATGCCCGGGCTACATCGGTGGGTTACATGGCCGGGCTACATCAGTTGGTTACATGGCCAGGCTACATGAGTGGGTTACATGGCCGGGCTACATGAGCGTGTTACATGGCCAGGCTACATGAGCGGGCCACATGGCCGGGCTACATGAGTGGGTTACATGGCCGGGCTACATGGCCAGGCCACATGGCCGGGTTACATGAGTGTGTTACATGGCCAGGCTACATGAGGGGGCTAAATGGCCAGGCTACATGAGTGGGCTACATGGCCGGGCTACATGGACAGGCCACATGAGCCGGTTACATGGCTGGGCTACTTAGCAGGTTACATGAGCGTGTTACATGGCCAGGCTACATGAGTGTGTTACATGGCCAGGCTACCTAGCGGGTTACATGAGCGGGCTACATGAGCGTGTTACATGGCGGGGCTACATGAGCGAATTACGTGAGCGGTCTACATGAGCGTGTTACATGGCCGGGCTTCATGAGCGAGTTACATGAGTGGGCTACATGAGTGTGTTACATGGCCGGGCTACATGAGCGTGTTGCATGGCTCGGCTACATGAGCGTGTTACATGGCCAGGCTACTTGAGCGGGTTACATGAGCATGTTACATGAGCGGGGTACATGAGCGTGTTACATGAGCATGTTACATGAGCGGGGTACATGAGTGTGTTACATGAGCGGGTTACATGAATGGGCTACATGAGTGTGTTACATGGCCGGGCTACATGAGCGGGTTACATGAATGGCCACATGAGTGTGTTACATGGCCGGGCTACATGAGCGGGTTACATGGCCGGGCTACATGAGCGTGTTACATGAGTGTGTTACAAGGCCGGGCTACATGAGCGTGTTACATGGCCAGGCTACATGAGCGTGTTACATGAGTGAGTTACATGAGTGGGCTACATGAGAGTGTTACATGAGTGGGCTACATGAGAGTGTTACATGAATGGGCTACATGAGCGTGTTACATGGCCAGGCTACATGAGAGTGTTACATGAGCGGGTTACATGAGTGTGCTACATGAGTGTGTTACATCGCCGGGCTACATGAGCGTGTTATATAACCAGGTTACATGAGCGTGTTACATGAGTGTGTTAAATGGCCGGGCTACATAAGCGTGTTACATGAGTGTGTTACATGGTCAGGCTACATGAGCCTGTTACATGGCCAGGCTATATGAGCGTGTTACATGAGCGGGTTACATGAGTGGGCTACATGAGTGTGTTACATGGCCGGGCTACATGAGTGTGTTACATGGCCGGGCTACATGAGCGTGTTACATGGCCTGGCTACATGAGTGTGTTACATGGCCGGGCTACATCAGCGTGTTACATGGCCAGGGTACATGAGCGTGTTACATGGCCGGGCTACATGAGCGAATTACATGGCCAGGCTACATCAGCGTGTTACATGGCCGGGCTTCATGAGCGAGTTACATGAGCGGGCTACATGAGCGTGTTTCATGGCCAGGGTACATGAGCGGGTTACATGAGCATGTTACATTAGCGGGGTACATGAGCGTGTTACATGAGCATGTTACATGAGCGGGGTACATGAGTGTGTTACATGGCTGGGCTACATCAGCGTGTTACATGGCCAGGCTACAGGAGCGTGTTACATGGCCAGGCTACATGAGTGTGTTACATGGCCGGGCTACATGAGCGTGTTACATGGCCAGGCTTCATGAGTTAGTTACATGAGCGGGCTACATGAGTGAGTAACATGAGTGGGCTATATGAGCGTGTTACATTGCCAGGCTACATGTGTGTGTTACATGGCCGGGCTTCATGAGCGAGTTACATGGCTAGGCTACATCAGCGTGTTACATGGCCAGGCTACATGAGCATGTTACATGGCCAGGCTACATGAGTGTGTTACATGGCCGGGCTACATGTGTGTGTTACATGGCCGGGCTACATGAGCGTGTTACATGGCCAGGTTACATGAGCGGGTTACATGGCCAGGCTACCTAGCGGGTTACATGGCCAGGCTACATGAGCGAATTACATGGCCGGGCTACATGAGCGTGTTACATGGCCAGGCTTCATGAGTGAGTTACATGAGCGGGCTACATGAGTGAGTTACATGAGCGGGTTACATGAGTGAATTACATGAGCGGGGTAAATGAGTGTGTTACATGGCCGGGCTACATGAGCGTGTTACATGGCCGGGCTACATGAGCGTGTTACATGGCCAGGCTTCATAGGCGAGTTACATGAGCGGGCTACATAAGCGTGTTTTATAGCCAGGCTACATGAGCGAATTACATGGCAAGGCTACATGAGCGTGTTACATGGCCCGGCCGGGCTACATGAGCGTGTTACATGGCTGGGCTTCAGGAGTGAGTTACATGAGCGGGCTACATGAGCGTGTTTCATGGCCAGGCTACATGAGCGTGTTACATGGCTGGGCTACGTGAGTGTGTTACATGGCCAGGCTACATCAGCGTGTTACATGGCCGGGCTTCATGAGCGAGTTACATGAGCGGGCTACATGAGCGTGTTTCATGGCCAGGGTACATGAGCGGGTTACATGAGCATGTTACATTAGCGGGGTACATGAGCGTGTTACATGAGCATGTTACATGAGCGGGGTACATGAGTGTGTTACATGGCTGGGCTACATCAGCGTGTTACATGGCCAGGCTACAGGAGCGTGTTACATGGCCAGGCTACATGAGTGTGTTACATGGCCGGGCTACATGAGCGTGTTACATGGCCAGGCTTCATGAGTTAGTTACATGAGCGGGCTACATGAGTGAGTAACATGAGTGGGCTATATGAGCGTGTTACATTGCCAGGCTACATGAGCGTGTTACATGAGTGAGTTACATGAGCGGGCTACATGAGCGTGTTTCATGGCCAGGCTACATGAGCGGGTTACATGAGCATGTTACATTAGCGGGGTACATGAGCGTGTTACATGAGCATGTTACATGAGCGGGGTACATGAGTGTGTTACATGGCCGGGCTACATGTGTGTGTTACATGGCCGGGCTTCATGAGCGAGTTACATGGCTAGGCTACATCAGCGTGTTACATGGCCAGGCTACATGAGCATGTTACATGGCCAGGCTACATGAGTGTGTTACATGGCCGGGCTACATGTGTGTGTTACATGGCCGGGCTACATGAGCGTGTTACATGGCCAGGTTACATGAGCGGGTTACATGGCCAGGCTACCTAGCGGGTTACATGGTCAGGCTACATGAGCGAATTACATGGCCGGGCTACATGAGCGTGTTACATGGCCAGGCTTCATGAGTGAGTTACATGAGCGGGCTACATGAGTGAGTTACATGAGCGGGTTACATGAGTGAATTACATGAGCGGGGTAAATGAGTGTGTTACATGGCCGGGCTACATGAGCGTGTTACATGGCCGGGCTACATGAGCGTGTTACATGGCCAGGCTTCATAGGCGAGTTACATGAGCGGGCTACATAAAC